AAGATACCTTTTTGTTTATATTTGTTCAATATTGCTCAAACTGCTTTACGCTTCAGCTTCAAATGTTTGCTAAGATCGTCTTGACGTTGACCATCTTATAACTCAATGATCTTAGTTTTCACATCGAAAGAAATTTCTGTACCACGCGGCATGGTCTTAAAATCACTTAACTTATTCCATAATACTTGATGAACACAAACTAACCCTTTTCTGACTCGAAACTGTACTAAACTAATGTTGAAAAGAATTTGTTTACATATTTTTTTCCCTCATACAAAGGTGCTTATATTCAGACTTTTATTGTGCTTGTTCATTGCAGATAATGTAAAAACAAGGAATTTAGTTTTTCTACTAGTAACGTATTTGTTTATGGAGAAATGAAGTATGAATTCGTTTTCTAAAGTTATTTATGTAAATATTCATATTGTCTATACAGGGTGTCCGCAAAGTTGGTGTTTTCCTTTTCAGAAACAACTACCCTTGAAATAACAAAGGTAATGTGTAGTGAAACGAGGTCGACCAAGTAAAAAAAAAATAAATGAAAAAGTACTCACTCTCCAGTTGACGAGAAGGGCTAAGTACGTCTCTGCCCGAAATCATACCGCTCCAACAGAAAATGAAATCAGCTGATGCGCTACCGAGCAGACGCAGGCAAACAAGGAAGGCAAAATGTTGCGTAAAAAGTCTAGGTATTGCATTCCGTCCAATCGATTTGGGAGAATAAATGGTCCAATGAGCATACCGTTTACCATGCCAGCCCAAACATTCACCGAAAATGTTTGTTGAAAATGTGCCCGACGGACAGCGTGCGGATTTTCTACTGACCAAACATGAGTGTTGCGAAAGTTATTCACCCCATTACGCGTGAACGTAGATTCGTCTGTCACCAATATGCACTTCAAAAAGTCCGGATTATTGTCATGTTGATGCAAAAACCACTCACAAAACCGCACTCTTGCTGGAAAATCGTCAGGTTGAAGGGCTTGTACACGTTGGACGTGAAACGGATACAGCCCCTCTTCACGCAGCGTTTGCCACACTTTAGTTTTTGATACTTGCACTTCTCTAGCCACGTCTCTAGTGCTTGTTGAGGGATTCTCGTCTACGCCATTACCTTTTAGACGCGTGACCGTAACCGTCGGTTGAAGGTTGCATACTGACCTGACACACTGACCCCGACCCAGTTCTGTCGTCGGGTTGAGCTAGTGTCCTAGTACCATTCGGGGATGTCGCGGCTACAGGACGGTATTAAGATTTTTTTGATGTTGCAGAGCCCTTTATCTCGGTTCCCTTAAGACATTGGTGTATATGGTACTAAGAAAAATTGCTTGTTTTCAAGATCTACACGTCGTGTAAAGGAAAACCCTAACTTTGCAGACACCCTGTATACTTTTGTCCATTACTATATGTGCCAAAAATTATTAATTCGGATAAACATACCTGTATTTTTGCTTGCAACTCATCTGAACTGTCAAAATTGGAGTGGTTTACAGTCATTATTTCAACAACAGAGAGGGAGACGCCCTATGCGCAGCACCTGAAATTCATTTGCTGCGCAGTGTACCACCTCACTTCATGTCGGCATTTTTTATCTTCCTATCTCTAGTTTTCATGGTTTTGCGATCCCACATTTGATTTCACCGCGCGCACTGTAAACGGGGAAGTCGTAACATGTCAGCCGCGAAATATGTAAATACTAATGATGATTCTTTCCTTTTTGTAGATCCTTTGGGTTTGAAGTACCACGACAAGTGGCTAACGTATGTCCTAACAGTTTTGGCACAAAATTCATGGCTTTAATTTTAACAAACACAAAATAATATCAAGTTGCCTTTGGAAACAAAAGTTTGTTACTGTCAGTTGACATTTATTTATTTTGATGTTTTCGCTTTAAGAAGTCGTATAAATTAGAAATAAATAAAAAAAGTATCTACAAGTTGGTTGGGCGGATGGCATCCAAAGCTGAAATCTGTCGAATATTCCAGAATGAAAACATTTCACACAGAACCATTAATTTATCGAACAATAGCGGAGTGCGAGCACGGAATACCATGTCTGAATCTCCCAAAAAGTGGAAGACCACGTGCATGTATTGGACAGAGGGCAGATCTTCTAAGAGTACGATCTTTGGAATTAAGGATGAATGGTCTTAATTATCGGAAGAGACGTAAGTGCCCCAAATACTCTCAAGCGCAACTCCTTTGTACACCAAGATGCTGTCGTCAGTTGAAGCTTTGTTAATGGAAAAATCATTATTTTAGATGACGAAAAGTATTTCACTTTGAGTAATTCTGAAACCACTAATTTTATACGGGAAACGACAATGTAGCGAAATAGATAAAATCCTTGTCTAGTGCGCAATTTCTAACAGGGGTGTATCACAACCTTTTGTGGGAAGAGTGACGGGTGAAGCTTTGAATAGTCAGAGCTATATTGATAACTGCCTTTCCAAATTGCTTCTGTTTGTCCACGAACATCATGCTAGTGACCATATCATGTTTTGGCCAGACCTAGCATCAAGAGATACCCAAAACTGTCTTCGACAAAACATACCTTTTGTTCCCAGAAAAGATAATCCTCTAAACTTGCCCCGGCCCGCACAATAGAGGATTTTCAGGCTTTACTGTCTAGAAAGGTTTATCATGGGGGCTGGGAAGCCCAAAATGAAGAACAATAAACATGTCGAATTTACGAAAAACAGAGAAATTGATCTGAAGTCCGTCCATGATAATCGATATTCCTAAAAATTGCCGCAGGATTTTTGGGCTAAACTGTCTAGGAAGATTTATCATGGAGACTGGGAAGTCCAAGATGAAGAACAATAATTGAACTTAATTCCGTCCAGGACCTCATGAGAGATATTCGAAGTTGCGTCTGGTAAATCAGAATGGGTCTCTCCACATAATTCGATAGTATAGTTTAGTCAAGTATTGAGTTGTAGTTTATGATACGTTAGTGTTTAAATAAATTTCTTCATTAAAAAATCCGATAAATATTTTGTGTCAAAACTTTTAGGACATACTTTATAACCAGCCGCGTGGTTGTGGTTGGATGTCGCCTTGAAAACTCAATATCTTGTTGATGATTTCGTGTGGCGTTTTGTTTTGTTTCCTTTCCATCTTCGTTTCCTCAGGTTATACCCGTATCCGGATGCGTGGGCATGTGTATCTACTTTTGTAGTTGCATATGCGCATTCATTTCAGGACTGATGAAGCCAACCAGCAGAAATACGTATCGCTCGGGTTATCTATCCTATTTTCTGCTCGAATCCACTTCACTCCTTTTTGCGGATGTAACCTATTATTTTCCTACTGTTTGTTGTATACCTTTCTCCGCATGATCATTTTCTCTTTCTAGATCCTTTGGACTTGAAGTACCACAGCAAGTGGCTATAACCGGCCGCGTGGTTGTGGCTAGATGTCTTCTTGAAAATTCGAGGTCTTCTACCCATTGTATACTACAATGTGTAGGTTGGCTCTTGTTGTGGATTTCGTGTGTCAATTTTTCCCTCTCCATCTTCGTTTCTTCACGTTACGCCCGTATCCGGATGTGTGGGCATGGGTATCTACTTTTGTAGTTGCATATGTGCATTCGTTTCGGGTCTGATGGAGCCAACCAGCAGAAATGCGTATCGCTCGGGTTACCTATCCTATTTTCTGCTAGAATCCACTTTCCTTCTTTTTCAGATTTGCATTGCAGTTTGTTCCTCCGTATGCCAAATGGCAAATGCATATCCGCCAATTCTTGATTGGTAAAGCTTTCCATTAGCAACAATTAATTTTTGTTAAATTCTTGAAAACTTCACAAATACGATAGCACGACTAAGGCGATATGGAATGCAGCTACAAAATACAATCTCTGTTATCGTTTTTGAAGATAACAACACACAGCGCCGGACATGGGTTCCTATACTCAAATGTTTTCTACTGTTACACTGAATAACCCCTACAAGTTTGATCCCATAGTTCTGAAACACTCTGTATACCTTTATCTGCATATGATTCTTTCCTTTTTCGTAAATCCACTATTCGTGGCATCTCTAGCATGTACACGATACCTTACCGGATCCGCCACAGGACCAAAGGTTGGACCCGGACTCCGGAGGGTTTTTTTTTGACATTGTTTTTCGTGATATTACGTAGGTTTTTCTACAAGATGTTAACTTAGCACTAGCTGATGGACACGTGAACTCGTTTTGTAGTTATACGTGTTGCCTAAACGTCATCAGGCTTCAGTTATCAATGTTCGGCTCTGATGTGATGTAATATCTGGTTCAGAGATGGTATTACTGGAGGTCTAAGCTGTAAGTTGTATAATATAGCCTAGAAGGAAACGGCAATGCATAGGTGCATAGTGAGGATGTGTTGTTGAGGATTCTTCTCTCAAATACACTTACTTACTAGAAATTACTTTCTTTTCAGAGATGAAAACTACAGAGTACTCGGCTTCATAAAATATATGCAACCAACAATGCGTGTAGTTGAGTGATTCCTTCATAGATGGACGCTGACAACGATCCTAGTGAGCAAACGTGGAATGACTGTTTGCGCTCTAAAAACTACCTAGTCTGAAAGATAACATTTTATAGTTTTTTTTTTAATTTTATAGGTTTTTTACATAATACTCGTGCGGATCGTCCTTACGCTGCGTCAGCACGCTTGTCGCTAGCCGCAAACTCTACAAACGTTTGACTTTATTTGAGGACGCATCCACACGTTTGCGGGTGTGTCAGTGTGTTGTGCAAGCATGACGGATATCGATCACAACACAATCCGGACTCTAATCTTTTTTATTACTTGTTGACAATTTTGATTCATCATTAACCTTTTACACTTGGTCCGGTTGGTCCACCATTTTTTAATTTAATAACCAGGGAGTTCACAGCAAATTCTCTGTTCGAAAACGATTCGGCCTTCATTGGTTCGGTGTTTTATTGTATTGTACGAAAATAATTATTATCTCAGACTTGATTATAAAACGTTTCTTTCGTTTTGTTTCAGGCATACGAACTGTCAACGTTGACTGGTACTCAAGTAATGCTGCTGGTGGCATCAGAGACTGGTCACGTGTATACCTTTGCAACTAGGAAATTACAGCCAATGATAACCAGTGAGGCAGGCAAGTACCTATGCTGTCATTCTATTCGTCATCGTTCGTCAGAGCGGTCCGTGGGACATTCGCTCTTTGTTAAAGTATCGTAGGTCAGTAGATCTGTTAGGACGAAGAAAGAAAGCAGGAAGAAAGAAAGGAATGAAGGAGGAAGAGCAAAGAGGGTGAAGTGCGCCGGTTAAAGGGATGCCTTGCTATTCTTAACTGGTATTCGGTTAATTTAATTTAATCCTAAAAATAATTTAGCAATTTTGGTTGAATATAGAATTTCACGATTTGATTTTGATCACAGTGCGAGCCGCGGTCTTGTGTGTTGCGAACTTGCTCGACTGTGTAGTCTACTGAGTCACGCAACAGAGGGTTGCTGTGCGATTCCGCTTGACTATAACGTAACTGCGCCTGATGTTCGATATAGTTCCATAGGTAAGGGATGTCGAGGTCTCTGCGAAGGGTCTCGTTGGAGATATACCATGGTGCGTTAGTGATGGTTTGCAAGGTTCTGTTCTGCAAAACCTGCAGATTACGCATATGCGTTTTGGCAAGAAAACACCATGCTGCACATGCGTAAGTGATAGCTGGTCTAATAACCATCTTTTACAGCCGAACTTTGTTAACCAAACTAAATTTTGAGGTTCTACATAGTAAAGGGTAGAGTTGCCGAAACGTAATCTGGAATTTAGTTTTTAATGCTTAAGTGTGATTCTGCCAGATCATCCCCCTGTCAAGAGTGACACCGAGGTACTTAGCAGAATTTCCCCATGGTAATTAATTTTGATTAGCCACTGATCTGCCCATTCCAGTACCTCATCCACCGCACCTTGTAATCTGTCGCGAACCAGATTCCCGGTACGCGACTGGGCCGCCAGTATTTATTTTTTTTTTTTTTTGGTGAGGGGGGAATGCGTTTACGCACCATACCATAGCCCGAGCTACGGTGTGTGTGGGACTCCAGGTTGTCTTGAGGAGACCACCTAATACCCACTAAACCCTAACCTCCGCGTGGCCCGACTCACCAGCGTCTCGGTAGGCCATGTGTTGTGCGTGACCTGCGGTCTGCTACAACGTCTCCTCATGTGTTTCAGTCTCTGGGAACGCCGGGTTGGTTCCCTTTACCTCGCACATTCTATCGATGTCGTTAAGCGATCATCGATAGAGGGTCTGCTAGGTTCTCTTGAAACTCTTGTTTTCGAAAAACCGCGGGTTCTCCTAGTCTCCTAGTCAAGGTTCCAGTTAGCGGGTGCCAACTGGGACCTTGGCCTAGGGTACCTGGTTCTGCGGTTGCGAGGCCTCTCGTCCGGATCGTAGTCCATGAGGAATCATAGCTGCTCGTTCGGGTGGTCCTGAGCTTTCTCGAAGGTCTTCTCCGCTTTTTTCCTAATGTACTCGTGAATGGTGTCCCAATGCAGGTCTCTACGCAAGGTTGAGTTTCTTACGTAGGATGGTGCACTGGTGGCGATCCGGAGTAGCTTCATCTCTAGAGCAGCAAGTCGCTTGCGGTAGCTGGGAGCAGCGTACCCCCAGACCGCGGAGGCGTAAGTGAGCTGAGGTCTGGCGATGGCCTTGATCAGCCGTAGCTTGGTCGCTAGCGGCATCCGGCTGTGTCTACCCAGTAATGGGTAGAGTTGGGCCATGGCTGCTCTGGTCTTTGCGATGACAGCTTCTATGTGGTCTTTCCAGGTGAGGGACTTGTCAAATACGATCCCCAGATATTTGACTTTGTCGCTCCACTGGATATCTTCGTCGAAGATGGATGCTTCGAGAGGTCTTGCAATCCTTCTTCGTTGAATGAAGTTTGCCTGCGTCTTCTGGGCCACCAGTGCAATGTCATCAGCATATAAATAGACTTTACAGTCGCTAGGGCAAGGGACATCATGCGTGGAAAGCGATTAAAAGTTTGGCCCTAGAACCGAACCCCGAGGGACGCCGGATCTGATGGACCATACTGTCGACAAGAAATTATTAATTTTGATCCGAAATTTCCTACCTTCAAGGAAGGATCTCAAAAGTTTTAGGAGCCAAAATGGAAAGCCATTTTGAATTAGTTTGTAGAGAAGGCCCTTGTGCCACACCTTGTGAAATGCCTTCGAGACATCCAGAAGCAAGATGCCAGTACTTTTGTTAAGGGTGAAGCCGATGGTTACTCGCTCCACAAGCCTAACCGCCTGTAACTCTGTACTATGCTCAGACCGAAATCCAAATTGCGCATGGTGATCTGACGAGAAATTCGCAAGGTGACGTAGAATCACCTTTTCAGCGAACTTAGATGGAGCAGACAGTAGGCTGATGGGACGATAGTCCTGTGGAAATATCGAACCCACCTTCTTTGGAATCATTATAACTTCCGCAGTGTTTCAAGCCGATGGAAAGTACTCGGTCCTTAACATGGCATTGCTAATAGCGCCTTATTAGGGATTTGATCCTCCCCAGGCGCTTTACGCACCTTGAGGTCTTTAATATGACCTTGAAGCTCTGCTGGTGTGCAATGCGGGATCTCGGGAGGAGCCGCTGATGTGCTGTGCAACTCTTCAGCTGAAGAATCTTCCGAAAAAGAATTTTCTGAGGAAGAATCACTAATGGCGGCGCCGGGATCACTGACGCCGTTGGCTCTGAAATATCTCCTGACGGATCTTACGATTTGTTGCTCCTCGTCGAGATCATTATCGCGATCATAGTTGGGAGAGAACTGTCGTTCCACAGCATCAGCGAAAACCTCGACCTTGTCCTCTGTCATGAAGTCTATGCCCCCAGGACCATGGATGTGCGGGAGTTGTTCTCGCTTTCCGTTTCTGAGCGACTTCGCCACTTTCCAGAGAGGAGTACTTGAGTCAAGCATCCCTCTCAGAAAATCGTTCCATTGCTCATTGCGGAATTCATGGAGAGCATTTCTTACTTCATGAACAAGATTCGTCGCTCTGCGAATGTCATCAGGATGACAAGACCTTTTCGCTTGCTTAATTGCAGCCCTTTTGTCAGAAATTCTCTGACGAATGTCTGCAGGTAGACTATGCTGTCATATTAAAACACGTAGAGCTAGGATTTATGCAACATACAGGGTGTTAATTAAGTATGAACGATACATTAAACAGACGACTCTTTGAGTAATTTTAAGACAAAAAGTTCATATAAGCATAGGTCGGCAAATTCTTCGTTCTCAAGATACAGGATGTTAAAATAAAAAAAAAATGTCTTTCGTAAATTTCTCAAATATCCTTTATCTAATTTTGTTGTAATTTGGCGGTGCTATCTATAACATTAAGGAGCTAAGTTACCTCTAACTTGATTAAATTTATTAAATCCAGTGAGGTTACATTTGTATGGGTCAAGGCACACTGTGGAATCGTATTCAACGAAAAAGTTGACCAACTCGCAAAATCAAGCAGCTACACAGGATCTGTATTACAGACACAAATTTCCAAATAAGATTATAATATTTTATCCAAACAAATCCTATTTAAAAGCTGGACGTTAGAATGGAAGGAATTCTGCTTTACGAACCCAACGAGGTATACTTTAATACATCCTGATATCCCAACAACGTCCTGGCACAAACATTTTAGAATTCCTCGTAAATACATATCTATGATTATTAGAGCAAAACTTGGGCATGGAGCTTATCCAACACATCTAGCTAGATTCCGTATTATTGATTCCAACTTATGTGAACACTGCAACATTGAGGGGAACTTGGATCTTCTATTTTTTGGCAGTTTGAAGTTATACTAAGTGACATATAAATCCGAACACCCAGTTTAAATGGTTTTATTTCAATAAAATTTTGTATAAGTACTTAATGAAGCATAATAAGTAAATGATAAAAATTTCAAAATGATTGCACTGCTTTAAAGCCCTTTGACCTTTAATAATGTGTGGATGCACCCTGATGTGCTACGCATTCTCCAACGCGCCTAGGCATGCTTCTGATCAGGTGGTCAATGTCCTCCTGTGGTATCTCATTCCAACTCCTCTCGAAATGCTTCTAGAGTCTGAGGAGGACGTTGCAAATTGAGCAATCTCCTACCCATCATATCCCACACGTGCTCAATTGGGGATAAGTCGGGAGATCTTGGTGACCATGGTAACAATGTGACATCATTATGTTGAAAGAAGTCTATTGTGAGTCTTGCAACATGTGGTCGGACATTATCTTGTTGGAAAGTTGGATCTGCCAGGGTGTCAAGATAGGGTAAAAGATGGGGTTCTAGAACTTCGTGGATATAACGCTGCGCGTTCATGTTACCTCTGCTGAAGATTAAAGGTGACCTGGAACCATAAGCTATAGCACCTCAAACCTTAACTCTAACAGTGTGATGAACATGTCTTTCAACAAAAAACTGTGGATTCCTCCTTTCACCACGCCGCCTTCTAACCCTGGCACGACCATCGTGCATGCCTAAACAAAATCGAGACTCGTCACTAAAGACAATACTGTTCCATTCCTGATCCCTGCACCACTCAAGGCGATTACGTCGGTGTTCTCGAGTTAAAGGGAGGACCCAGTGTGGCCGGTATGAAAACAAGCCAAAACTTCTCATTCGTCGGTAAACACTTCGCATGTCAATAGGTCTTCCGTGTTCTGCAAACCATTCATTTGAAATGGACCTGGTAGTGGAGAAACGGTCCCTTAAGGCCAATAATCTTAGGCGGCGATCTTCACGGTCTGTTGTTCTACGGCGGCGTTCAGTGCCCCTTGCTCTTTGCGTACGGCCTTCTCGAAGCCATGCCTGACAACACGTAACCACAGTGTCGACACTTCTTTGCACTCTAACTGCAATTGCCCGAAAAGAAAGTCCAGCTTCCCGAAGTCCGCATCAAAACTCACTAAGTTGACGAAATCGTACAGGTCTCCGTACTCTAGGCATCGTAACCGATCGTAAAGGATGTCAAGAACCAAAATCCGCCAACGTTGATTCTTTACTGCGGCGGAAATATTCATTTTTAGAGCGTTAGTGAATTAAAAAAAGCAGTATAAAAACCGAAATGTCCAACTGATAAGGCTGAAATTTTTTTCACTTGTTATTTACAGTAAGATAAATACATTCACCAACTTTTGTTAAAATAAAACCATTTAAACTGGGTGTTCGGATTTATATGTCACTTAGTATATCCCCATACTGTGATCGACTTTACCTTAATCTGTTTGGCTTAGGCCTTATTTCACCATTTAATGTTCTCCAGATTCTAGCTTTGAATAGACTTGATGTTACGTGTCTGATAATTGACACTTTGAAAACCTCTGGGTTAAAATTTTAGTTTTGATTGGCTAGATATCCTATGTGTAACTATCCTCTGTAATTTACCTACGTAACCGTGGCCTAATTGTTGTGTGTCATATTCTGAAAATGCCTTAATGGGTCCTTAGGCGAGAAGAGTGTATCCCTGTCCAATTCCATCCTTACTTAGTTAGAGAAGTTTAAATTGTAAAAAAGGATCTGGTTAATGGGACATAGTCCTAGTGCCATAAACAAAAATTAAGTCCAGTGGCGTCTTGAACAGGATCTGAACGAATACAGATCCTCTAAATCCATACTGTTGCAAGTTTGTAAGTAACTTATTCCTGTCAGTAGTACCAAACGCCTTTATGAAGTACACTGTCACTGTATGTTTCCTATTATCCATACATCTACTCCAGTCCCCTAAAACCATTTGTATTGCCGTTTCAGTTGACTGTTTCTTCCTGAATCTAGCTTGAAATTTGGTTAAAATTTTATTTCCCTCGACAAATTCGATGAACTGTTCGTAAATAATTTCTTCAAAGACTTTTACAACATCTGGCAAAACATTTTATTGGCCGCATATTAGTGACAACTGAGAATTCTTAACTGTCGGAACAGAAGTTATGCTAGAACACTTCAGTTTTGTTGGAAATTCGCCATATGTTAAACAGTAATTTATCAGGATTAATATTTTTCCTCCAATAATATCAGCTCCAATAATAAGCACCCTTTTAGACAAAATCTTACTCTTATCTTCATTTGATTTCAATTTTTATATAAGCTTCTTGAGACGATTCATGTTTATTGTTCTAAACTCACTGAATGAGGCATTATAATCTGATCTAATGGAACATTGGTTGGGATCCCCGTCAATAATTGATCTTACAATGTCGTTGGCACTTTCTATGAAATAGGTATTTTATTTTAGAAGCAATGTTTTTCAGTGTTTTTCACATCTGCCTGCTATCATTTTTACCGTCATCAATTGTGGTATTGTAATATTTTTTCTTTTCATCTCGTAGAACTGCTGCAGATTGGTTTCTTGATCTTGTATATTCTAGCCCAGAGTTCCCCAAACTTTTTTGTGTCGTAGACCCCTTGCCATGTTTTTCCGTGTTGGGCAGACCCCCTACTTACCTGATATTGATTTCCTGTAAATTTCTAACTGTAGTGAAGTTTAGTGTTAAAAGCTTAAAGTAAAAACACATGTTAATTTATACATTTATTAATTGAATTTAAATAAAAGCTACTCAAAATAAAATTTTGTATCTGTTATGTAAAATATACGTAACTTTAAATAAACAGGTGTCTGACCAATAAGTGCCCGCATTGGGAATAGGTGCCCGTATTGAAAAAAAATAAGAGGGTTAAAATAAAAAAAGTAAAAAATAATAATAAAAAAAGTTTTTCACTTAAAATAGTAATAAGCGAGTTCGTTTATTAATTATAACATAAACGTATGTTCTACAATTTCTAATTTCACTGTTAGTTTGATTAAATTCCGCTTCTTATACGTTTAAGTTATCTAAAAATAGGCAAAAAATTAACGAATTTTAGTGTGTACGTATCCTTGAATTTTCAGAACAATTAAAAAAAATATTTTCTATAAAGGGGGGTTCTTTAAAAAAATCAATCCGGGCACTTATCCCCAATGCGAGCATTAATTGGTCAGACACCAATAAACATAAAATAAACTATAAATAAAATAACATAAGCAATAAGTCAATATTTTCAGTGAGAACGATTGAACCTCATGCTTTAATAATAAATTATCAACATTTGCCGTCAATTTTGTAAGGGTTAATCTTAAATCTCGTCGGCTAATGATGTCCAGTCTGTTTCTTTTTTTCGTTAGGAGATTAGGAACAGCGCTGAACCCGCTTTCCACTAGGTATGACGATGGAAAGGAAAAATTTCCTCGCTATATTCCATAATACGGGATAAGTAACGGGTATGTTGTTTTGCAGCCAGAATTGCTGATATCCGTTTTTAAACTGAACCTTAAGTTCTTCGTTTGTACTTAGTTCAGTCAGTTCCTCTTGTATTATGACATTCGTTTCTTCTATGTCACCATATGGATTAATTATCCACGGTAGTATTACCTAGATTCAAAATCTGAATAGAGGGCATTTAAATGTTGAACGTAAGTTGAAACGTCGTCTTCTTGGCAGCTTGTCTGTGACAAATTGGGGAACTGAGAAAATTCGCCCCGTCCAATATTTTGCTTCATTAGTTTAACTCTGGCAAGAAACGCTGATAAGATTTTTTTTAATAAAATTTAAACTGTCGCCTTGTAATTAAATTAACCATATTAAATTTGGTAGACAAATCTGTTAAATAGGCGATGTCTGTTTTCCTCTTCATTAAATTTTCTTTTAAAATGTTATCTTTAGTATCCAGAAATTCTAAAATAGTCTCAAAAAGTGCAAAAAACCTTGTCAAACATAAGCCTTTCAACAGCCAGCGTACTTTAGTGTGAAGGAGTAATTGATGAAAGTGTTCGTCATTTTCTTCACACAACTGCGCAAATAACCGCGTATTCAACGCGTTGCTTCGGATTCGGTTTACTGCATCAATGACTAAATAAAGTGATTCATGCAATCTAACACTCAAATTTTTAGCAACTAAATGTTGTCGATGGATGGCGCAATGTATTGCTAACACCCCTGACACATTTTGTTTTAAATAGCTTATAAATCCACGATAACGTCCAACCATGGCAGGTGCTCCATCTGTAGCTACTGATATTATATTTGATAAAGGAATTGCTTTTTCAATAAAGTAACCCTTCAAAACATGAAATATTGATTCACCTTTAGTGTCGGTTATCAAAGTTCTTGCGAAGAGCAGTTCTTCGTAGATTTCTTGATTCATAATAAAACGAACATATGCCAATAATAATGCTGCATTATCAGGTAAAGTTGACTCGTCCAGTTGTATAGAGAAATGGCTCGTTTGCAAATAATTACATAAGAAGCTTTCAATATCAGAACTCATTTCATCAATATGTCTTTCAACAGTATTGTTGCTTAAGGGAATTCTTTTAATGATATCAGATGTAGGTTTGTGTAAAACAGTTTTTAAAACCTCTTCAACGGCTGGCAAAATTAACTTCTCTCCGATAGTATGCGGTTTTCCGGATTTTGCTATGAGTAACGATATATTGTAAGATGCCCGCAAACCATCATCATTTCTTTGTGACGTCGAAGCGAACATTCTGTACAGTGTAGGTCTCTTCTGAAATTTATCTTTGAGTGTTTGAAAATATTTCAAATCTTTCTCTGTTTTATCAGGGTGGCATCTTCTCAGATGATCTTGCAGTTTAGATGGTTTTATAGCGTTATTGCCCAAAACTTTGTTGCATAAAAGGCACATAGGCGATTGTTTGTCCGGCAATGATGGAATGAAGCCAAATTTCAAATAATCAACACTGTACTGTCTACATTTCTTTTTAGATTCGGACATGGCATCAGTCATCTGTGGGCAAAATTAAATTATTTAAATAAGAGAGAAAATCCAGCAGCTGTATATTAAAAATATTTTTTGATTTTTCCGAAAACATTCCATTATTCAAACATCTTCTTGCAACGATTAGCTTGAATTACGGAGATTGCACTGTAATTATATTACCGATTGCCAAAACTTTCAAAAAGAAACTATTGAGGAGTACTCGTGTAATTTTGCATGATTGAATATTTAACTACTAATAAATAAAGTCATTATGAACTACGAGTACAAAACTAAAATTTAATAAAAAATAATGTACTTACTTTTCTCCAGCACCCTCAAACAAAATAACACTGACTCACTATAATTTGTGTGATATACTATCTGTTTATATTTTTTAAAATATGTTCTTAGCACTTTCCTTTTCAGGATTCAGGAAACGAATAAACGTATTTGTCCCACATTCGTATTTCTAGAGTGACAAGTCAGTGCAAGGTAGCGAAGCTATGAGACTGCGACTCTCAGGTTTTTACAAGTTCAAAATGTATTGCGACCACAAAGCGAATACCAACATCCTACAAATTACACAATTTTATAAACATATATAATAATTTTTTTACTTCATAGGTACTTTTATAAATAATGTATATGTTTTGACATTATAAGATAGTATGATGTAAGTAAATAGGTACTATCAGTGTATGTGTTGAGATCCACTATCGTGGACCCCCATATTCATTTCATGGACCCCCAAATTTTTTTTCGCTGACGTAGACCCCTTGCAGGTTGTCATAGGCCCCTAGGGGTCGATATAGACCACTTTGGGAATCAATGTTCTAGCCGATCATTTTTACTCCCAGTAATGATGAAATTTTTATAATATTGCAGTCTCTTTTTAATTTAGAAAATTATGGGAATGCTGATGTTCACGCTTAATTTATATTTTGAAATCCTTGTCGAAGGTCAGTAACTTGCTAAACAAACAGACGTGTATTCAATTATTGGCCTTTGGAATGTAATAAATCTTACAGACAACCTTATGTCAAGTGCCAGAATTACATTACTGAAACATAAAAGGCACGCTGCGTATATTATGTATGATCGCCTATATTTGCTTTTTTGTTTGAGAATGACAGCATCAAATTTCATAGCAGCAAGCGCCAATGTTCTCCATATATGGCTTAAACACGGTATATTAGTGTCGTGAAAAAAGACGGCTACCTGATAAAGACGGGATTAAGTCATCGCCGCAGGTAGCTTAGCGTTACCATCTAATGAAATCTGAAAGTTAGCGCATAGTTATTAATGTATCAAGCTTATCGTCCACTGATTCGAATATAAGTAAAATGATAGTATAGTACAGGCGTCGGGGATAATTGAGTATTATTATTATTATTATTATTATTATTATTATTATGATAATTGAGATGAGCAGAGTACACAGTACTATAAGCTCATGCAGTAAATATAGTGTACGGACACGTAACACAAATACATCAAATAGAAAAAAATAAAAAAATACAGTTCATAGCTATAAAGTTTGTACACTCCTCCAGCTATCATACTGCACTTTGAAGCTATTAACTGAAGTAGCACCAACCACACTTTCAGGTAAACTATTCCAGGTGTTGAGTATGCGGTTGGGAAGAAACCACTGTCGGACTGTTGTTTTAAATGGCTCCTTATGCAGTTTGAAGCTGTGTCCGCGTAGATTGCTGCGCGATAGAGGGTATAGATGCATGAGGTTGGTGCCCATCAAACCATGAAGTATCCTGAACGTAACTATAAGATCGCCACGAAGTCTTCGCTCAGAGAATGAGGTCAGGTTGAATAATTCAAGGCGATCTTCATAGCTTGGTCTTCGTGCTCCAAAAGGGATACGAGTAGCCCGACGCTGTACTGATTCGACGAGATTTCTATCGCGCAGAAGCACAGTGTCCCATACCGGGCCAGCGAATTCAAGAATTGGCCTCACGAATGCCTTGTAAATGTAGGCGCAAGTGTTGACATCGGATCCTTTGAAAGACCTCTCCAGCATATATAGAAGTTTCTTGGCTTTTGATGTAACGTGGTGAATATGCTCTGACTAGGAAAGACGATCGTTGACTACAACGCCCAGATCAGTGTGGCTCGAAACTGCTTCGATGTTGTGGTCAGAGATCTTGTATGTAAATCGCGGATTTGTCTTCCCGAGGTGAAGGACACAACACTTGGTTAGATTTAAGGGTAAAAGCCAACTGACTGACCATTGACAAACAATATCAAGATCTCGTTGAAGCATAGCAGAATTTACGACAGTATTGTAAATCTTGGTGTCGTCGGCATAAGCTGAACATGTGGAGGAAATCAATGCGGGCAGGTCACTTGTATACAGAAGGAACAGCACTGGCCCCTAGACAGAGCCTTGAGGAACTCCACTTGCTACATGATGAAGGTGAGGCTGGCTATCACTGACGCGCACAGAGAAAGTCCTCCCGGTGAGAAAAGCCTTAATCCACAGTAACAACTCGCCTCTTATTCCCATACATTCCAACTTAAACAGAAGCCTTCTATGTGGTTCGCGATCGAATGCCCTAGAAAAATCTAAGAAGATTATATCAACAGGAGTCTTTGTGTCCAGATACTAAGTCCAATCGTTGAGAGAGTGGAGAAGGTTGGTCATTATTGATCGACCAGGGAGAAATCCATGCTGATTCTTAGGGATAAGGTCATTTTCGAAAGCAAATGACTGGAGCTTATCTAATATGATTCTTTCAGCTATTTTGGCGGCGATAGGAACGAGACTTATTGGTCGATAATTTTTAGCGGAGGATTTGTCGCCCTTTTTGAATACAGGGGTAACAGAAGCACTAAGCCAGCATGAGGGTAGGGTATGAGATCTAAAAGACGATGTGAATATCAAGCTTAATGGTAGGGCCAGTGCTGAAGCGCAGTTTTTAAGTACAGCAGCCGTCATCCCATCTTTACCAGGGGAGGAAGAGGTCTTCAGATTTCGCAGGTGCATTAATACATCTTCAGGCAGGAACTCAACTTCGCAAAGGCTGTTGGGACACCTATGGCAGATAGTGGTCGGTAGAAGGTCTCCATTAGGCTCATCGACGAAGTCATCACTAAAGGACTCTGCCAGTAAGTTGGCAGATTCGGTGGCATCCATGTGGAGATGACCGTCAGCGTCGCGGATCTGAGGTGATGAAACTTTGGAATTCAGGTTTGTTCTTAGATACCGAAACAGCTTCTTCTTATTTTTGGAGGTAACGAGTTTTCGTTCATAAGCATGTTTGGCATTATGTAACGTTCTAGATAGGAGGTTAGAAAAGGATCGATGAGACACGTAATCTTGTGAATGGCCACTCCTCCTAAACCGTTGCCACAAAGATCTCTTGTGACGAAGCATCCTCGATATGTTAGAGTTGATCCATTGCTCGTCGTTGCTTCTCAAGGCGGTCCGGAGGACCTTAGCACTGTAATATCAGTGTCTGACGTAAGCCTGTCAGGTTTGGTGGATCAGAAACTAGACAAGTTGTGGGGGAGAGGGAGAAAGAAAGGAAGGAAGTAGGAGCGAGAAGAGAAAGAAAAGTAATTGTTTTATGTACTCGTAAATATACAGGGTGTTCCTTAATGATATGCGAATATTTAAGGGTGTTAATATACATGAAAAATTAATGTTAGTTTGCTTTATAAACTATGCTCCAAAAATGTTTCCTTACAAAAACTCGGGGTGTTGAAGTTTTAGGAAAAAAATAGAAATTAATTAATATTTTCAGAACCGCTTCAGATATTTTACTGATATTTGCTACGTAGTGAAAGTCAATAAAGTGGCATATACGTAATGCATTTTCGCCATTACTGCATTTGAATTCATCATTATTAACAAGATTGTAAAAACTAAATAATGAAAAAGATGTCACAGCGAACAGATTTGAATAACAGAGACTTGTCAGATGTCAAATGCCAGTGACATATTCCAGAGCAACGAGATATTTATTGCTAAATTGCATTCTTCAATTATTACATTAACATAAAAAAATGGCGCATCGAAGGAAAACAATTCAAGAGAGATCATTTGTTTTAAATTCAACGGGGAGTTCAAAAATAATTTTTATTTGGCAAAAAACCACTGGCGTACCATTTTTTTTCTTAAAAAATATCGAAGCCAATACCCGTACGCAACTTTATTAAATTTCACTACTTACTGAATATCAGTGAAATATCTGAAGCGGTTTTGAAGATATTAATTAATTTCCATTTTTTTCCTAAAACAACGACCCGAGTTTTTGTAAGGAAACATTTTTGGACCATAGTTTATAAAGCAAACTAACATTAATTTTCCATGTAAATCCACACCCCCAAATATTCGCATATGATTAAGGAACACCCTGTATATTTGAGACATCGATCATCTCATTTTGTCGATGCCTAGACGTATACAGGAGTGTATTCAGCTGCGGGGTCGCTCAACACATTATTTTTTTTTATTACTTGTCAATAAAAATTTGAGAGAATGTTATCGTTTCATTGCCAAAAAATCAATTTGAAGAAATTTGTTTTTCTGGGTGTAACACTTCCAATGTCTCCGAGTATACTAAGTTGACGTCTGTCAAGTTGTTTTCTGAATGCTGCAACTCCTGATTATTATTTACTATTCCTCAGTTTAGTAAAATTCGTACGTTTAGATGTTAGTATTATGAAATTTAATTTAGTGTTTATTTGTTGTTATTTCATAATTAGTAATAAAAAATTATTAAAAAAAATAATAATTTCCTAAATAAACTTTTTCCCATATTCCTTTTATGGTCCAGGGATGTGCAACTAAGTGGACGTTTTTCTGGAAAACTAAGCAAGATTCGAAAAAAATTCAAGAGACAAAAAAAATTGTATCTATATTTGTGTAATTCAAAGAACATTGTAAAAATTGCACAAAAGTCAGAGGCGTCTATTTTTTGTCACAAATATCCGTTCAGTCCCCGTTCGAGATGCCACTGGACTTAATAAATTTAACCAAATTAGGGATAAATTAGCTCCTTAATGATACAAATACCACCACCAAATTACAACAAAATTAGGTAAATGATATTTAAGAAATTTACAAAAGAAGAGAACGAAGAATTTGCGGACCTATGTATATATACAGGGTTTGTCCGGAAAGTAAATAGGACCGAGTCGATTTAAAAAAATTTATTGAGCCAATCGTTACAATTCTTTAAAAACTTTCAAAACAGGCTACCTCTGCGTCGATGCAGCCCTGCCAGCGCGATTTCCAAGCATTGAAGGCGTCACGGAAGGCATTCTCCGGAGTGATGTTAGGAATGTCATAAGGTAGGGGATGTTTGCCTTGATTTCCAAAATTTACGGTATGAAAAAACCCTAGAGAGAGAAATACTGCTTAAAAATCTATTCTCTATTCTCTGTCTGAGATAGAACTACACATTTAAAACACTCAAACTTGAAGAAAAAATCCATGTACATTCTCTTTTACAAGAAAACTACTCTTTCTGCAAGGGCAAGTAAAGATAAAGATTTTCAAAAAAGTGATACACCCTCAGAAATCTATCCCTTGTTCTAAAATAAGTTATGGCAGCTCAAAAATCAAAATCATGATCAAAGTAAGGTAGTTAGCCTAAAAGAAGGTGACATGTATATATTTGAATACGTAAAATGCCAAACAAAATACAGTCTAAGAATTTCAGTCAGCAATAATCAATATCTATAAAATACCCAATTAAAATGATATTTTACCTGTTCACATCAGGGTTTTTTTGTCAAAGGGAAGGGATGGCTTCCAACAAAATCGGCTGCGAAACAGCTACAAGGCAGCTGCAAAACAAAGCTGGAGGAGTGTGAATGGTGGTGCTCCGCAATGACTTTCCACTAAAAGGAAGTAGATATTGCACAAACTTTTTCAGGACAAGCATTAATGGACGTGGTCCGATGGTATACAAAAGAGAACTTTCCGCTGGAGGTTAGAATCCCATTAGAAAACGGACGGGGTAGCACCCAAACTAACATAACTAAACGTAAGGTACAAAATAAAAGGGTACTACTTCATAAACTAGTGTTTGGGGCGTTAATATCCCAAAATCTGGAAGTTGACGAAAAAAAACAAAATCACAGCGGAAAAGCAAAAGCAAAATGGCGCTGGACGCGTCGGTATGCATTTAAAAGAAGGTACCTTGATGGTAAATCACACTTTAAAAGAAGGTATCTTGATAGTAAATCAAATTTTAACAGAAAGTAGACATTAAAAGAAGGTTGAACGAATGGCCTTGAGGAATGTATCTTGATAGAACCGAATATCCCTATACGGCTAGTACGTGTAAAGTCACAAGGTGGCGCGTTGGTTGCCAACTTTCTACGAGGAACGCAGAATTTTATGAGGAAATTAGTGACCAAAAGATTTCAACACAATACTGAGAAAGACAGATATGGTACGTGTAAAATTATACAATCAGTTAACTATGAAATTTGCAAAAAGAAAGTCATTGAAAAAGATTTGATAAGTGATCAAAATAGTAAAAAAAGGTTAACGTGATTTTGGCACGTGACAATGTTTGGGATTCTTTTAAGGCGAAAGACTGCGAAAATCTTATTAAAACTATGCAGGCCAGAATTAATGCTATTATTAAGGCAAAGGGAGACGTAACGAGCTACTGAAATGGTTCGTCCGAAGATTTATGTCAACCAAATATTGTTATTAATATTAGTTTAATTTTATAGATTAATATCATATTACTTGATAATAATTTTGTCAATATGACGTCAAAACAATGTATTTCAATATCTTATGAAAGCAAAAAACTATTTTGTAACCTTAAAAAAATAAACTTCAAGATAAAATTGGTATACTATTTTGTGTTAATGCTTGTATATCTTGAGCACTGGTTACTGTTACTTGTTGGATGGTCGAAAGTTTGTGATTCAGGCGTTTTATTCTAATTCGCATCGTCTGACTGAGAATTATAGAATAGCCGTTTGTTCCAGGTAAAGCGTTAATCCAGACCTGTCTGAATTCTCCCGACCCGCCTGCCGGCTCAGCGGGCGGCGACCAACGGATGTCAGCCACCGGCTTCGAGGAGACCGAACTCACCTACAACATCAGCGACGACGATAGCAAAGTAAGACAGATGGTGTACGGCAGTCCGCATGCGCACGCACACTCCGCCCATTCGGCAGCCGCGCTCGCAGGCCAAGCCGCCCATTACGCCGCCCATTTGGAGCAGGGCCACTTGGCCGGCCTGGGCGGATCACCTCAGCACCACGGCGGATATGCGCAAGCGTGTCCTAGTCCCTTACCCCCTCCACATCAAGGCTACGGCCATCCCCACTCTCATATGCATTCGCATGCGCAGCGGTAGGGAGGTCCCCGGTTAGATATTTTCAATTGGATCGTTTTGATGTGTGATAGGGTGACAGAAATGGCCTTGGAATGTAGAAAGAGATGTCTAATATCATACAGACTGTAACAAAAGTTTGGAACGCATCGGATATCTGACGAAAGACTCATCTAATTTTTTTAAAAATTCGTAGGATCCGTTGATGTTGCCAAAGCTACAGTTTTTCAAAAACTGATAGCAACTTTTGTTTGTCTTATGGAATGCTATGCCTTTTTATATACAAATGCTTTTTATTCAACATACTTTGGGGTAGACCTAATAGTTTTCGAAATATTCGCGGTCAAAGCAAAGCAATGACCGGTATTGGAAGTAATTTCCTGACATTCTAATATAGAATAAAATGTATGGCATTTTATAAGAAAACCAAACGTTGCTACCGCTTTCTGAAAAACTGTAGACTTGGAAACATCGGAAACTTTTGTTACTGTCTAATCATTGTACAGTCTGCGAAAACCAAAAGTTCGCCCAGATTGGCCTTACAGATAAGGTTAAAAATCGCTTTAGAATAAAGTAATGTCAAAATCTTCGGGGTCCTGAGAAGCAAGATTCAAACTTTTATTTAGATACTTGCTGATCTCAAGAACTAAAATTTCCAACAGGGTTTTCAAGCATTGAATCTACCCAATTTTAGGACTTTGAATTTAACCGCTTATAACTCGAAAACGGTCAGCTCTGGAAAAGAGTTGGCGGACCTCTTTTTTTCTCGAAATAATCCAAAAAATCTGAAAAAAATTTGTTCGGGCACAAAAATTGTAATTTATTTAACAAAAAATGTTTAAACAAATTTGGCCTGGGCTATCGTGCGGGTATATTAATTGCTTAGAAACTCGTTTAAAAATTATAATTTTTGAGTTCTCCAAGTATCTAAGTTGAAGCTAAAACATTGCTCTACAATACCCTGAGTATTTTGAGATTACTTTATTTTCAAGCTATTTCAACCTTGTATATTAGACCAAAATTGGCGAACCTTTGATGTTCGTAGACTTACTACTTGGAATCTGCAAGTGATAACTGTCAACTTCTAGAGGTGTTACATTCAGGGGCTTTGGACCAAGTCATTGGAACACGTTTGGAAGGACAATTTTACGTTGTATGTCTGAGAGGCACCCGTATATTTTTTAAAGTTGAGAAATATATATATACGTATATATATATATATATAACTTGAGACGTGGTCATTGTCGTCTAGACCAGTTAGGTGAAAAATTAAAGTTTCCGCCTTTTGTTGGGTACTTCGACAAAATTTAAGCAAAGAGGACTATTTATACTTTTTTTAATTCTCTCTAGCTTTCAATGGACTTTGCCATCATCATCAGGAGCTGGAATTACAATGATAACAGTAGCAACAAAAGTGTAAAATGAATTTAAATTGAATCAACTTACAGTAGTATGTGAGGATGTTGCTAATTGTTGTTTTCGTATAGGATGAGGGAAACGTCCAGTAACATGGTAAGAGCTGGATACATGGTACAATGGTTAAAATTATATAAAATATGACAAGACAAGTTAAAGACAGATTAAAAATTATTTAGAAAACATTAGAGCATTACGTCGTGAAGCCACTTGATGATTGCACAAAATGGTGGTCATGGAATAATGAGTGAGATGAACCTTTGACAGAAGGCCGAAGGTTGTCAATGTCTGTGTTGAAAGATGGAACGAATTGTGGGCGTGTGCCAAACGTTGCCAAATCACTTCAGATGATGTGATTTTTAGAATGTTATGTAAGAAATTGTTAAACCGACCAGAGGCAGTTGAATAAACTATATTTTAATTGATGGGAATTTTAAATTAATAATTATTAATAAATCGTGAGAAGAGAATTATTATTATATTATATTATCAACAAAAAAAACAGATATTAAACAACTGAGTGTCATTTACTCATATTTGCTAAACTGCGAAAAATTGGAGAAATTACATATCTCCCCAAATTTCGACTTTTCACAACCATAAATATAATCTGTGTTTTGGCCGATTCCACCAACAAATTCATTCCACTCAAAATCTAATAATTCTCTTCTCACGATTTATTAATAATTGTTAATTTAAAATTCCCATTAATTAAAATATGGTTTATTCAACTGCCTCTGGTCGGTTTAACAATTTCTTACATAACATTCTGAAAATCACATCATCTGAAGTGATTTGGCAACGTTTGGCACACGCCCACAATTCGTTCCATCTTTCAACACAGACATTGACAACCTTCGGCCTTCTGTCAAAGGTTCATCTCACTCATTATTCCATGACCACCATTTTGTGCAATCATCAAGTGGCTTCACGACGTTATGCTCTAATGTTTTCTAAATAATTTTTAATCTGTCTTTAACTTGTCTCTATATTTTATATAATTTTAACCATTGTACCATCTATCCAGCTCTCACCATGTTACTGGACGTTTCCCTCATCCTATACGAAAACAACAATTAGCAACATCCTCACATACTACTGTAAGTTGATTCAATTTAAATTCATTTTACACTTTTGTTGCTACTGTTATCATTATAATTGCAGCTCCTGATGATGATGGCAAAGTCCATTGAAAGCTAGAGAGAATTAAAAAAAGTATAAAGAGTCCTCTTTGCTTAAATTTTGTCGAAGTACCCAACAAAAGGCGGAAGCTTTAATTTTTCACCTATATATATTAGCAGCTTGTAGAACTCGTCAACAGAAGTTGCTATACCAAAAATTACCTATATGGAAGTTGCATAATAAAAGCAAGTTAGTTTAAATTATTAAATAAAAATTATCAAATTAAATGGATACCGTTTTTAGAAAAACTGTTCAAAATTTTCCCCATTTTCAGCGCGCTGCTAAAGTTCTTCCAGAGTATTTACTGCTCCATCATGATAGACCAACCCTTTCAAATAGCCCCACAGAAAAAAAATCGCAAGGCGTTAAATCCGGGGAGCGAGCAGACCAAGAAATGGGTCCATTGCATCCATCCATCTGTGACAAATTTAGATAAACGATAAGAGTAAAAACAAAAAACGCTAAGATTTTACATTGCAGTGGTCGAGAATATCAAAAAATCTGTATAATAACATTATTTTTTAAAATCTTTAATTTTTACTATTTTTTTATTATGCAACTTTATATAGGACTTGTCCTACAAGCATTTAAAATAAATGACTAAACTTTGAAAACACCCTTTATACATATAAGCTACCTTCGAGGTACTTGGTGTAATTAAAATGAATATTCGGATAACAGATCTCAACGAGTTTGAACTTTGTTAAGCTTTTGCTATATCATTTTATCGCTGGCCTTACACAATGTCAGTAATGTTTCGAACTACACCGATATATTCAGCCGTACTTAGATAAAAGTCAGTTAGTGTTAAAATTGAAATCTAAGAAAATTGAGTTCAATTCGGGATTTTTACGAACAAAATAAATAGTGTTATTACGACAGAACAGAAATGAATGAATATTGCAAAATTATATGTCTCTTGAGTGAGTCGTTTGAAAGTGATATCGGTTCGTAATTGTTATTGAGGCGTAAAATAAACGACATTTTCTTTGACTATTTTCCGGCTTGGTAAATGGTACGTTCATTGGATCTTTTATTTTCACGAATTGGCTGGACGGTTTACAATACCTACGGAACATTTTATCAACGACAACTTCGAACAGAGCTTATAAGTGACATATATCCGTACTTGAAATTCCTCTCCAAATGAGCTGTGAGTACTTTTCATTTTTTTGTACTTTTTCGTCACTGTTTCACCACGTTTCTAGCGTAGTTGTTTTTGAAAGGGAAAGTCCCAACTTTCGAGGTCACCCTGTATTGTTGGTACATACAGGGTTTGTCCGGAAAGTCATAGAACTGAGTCGATTTAAAAAAAATATTGGGCCAATCGTTCTTTAAAAACCTTCAAAATAGGCTCCTTCTGCGTCGATGCAGCGCTGCCAGCGCGATTTCCAAGCATTGAAGGCGTCACGGAAGTCATTCTCCGGAATAGCCTTGAGAGCCGCGGTGCATGCTGCTTGGATCCCCTCTGTCGTCTCAAAATGCTTGCCTTTCATAGGCCTTTTCAGGCGAGGAAACAAAAAAAAGTGCGGGAGGCCACATCTGGGCTGTAGGGCGGCTGGTAGTGTGAGCCGGGGCGTTGTCGTGGTGCAACTTCCAGTCGGCTGCGATGTCCTGTCGGACCCGACTGACCCTTCGTTTGAGTCTCCTGAGCACTTCCACGTAAAACTTGGCGTTGACGGTTTGTCCAGGAGGAACAATTTCATGGTGGACGATGCCTTTGATGTCAAAAAAGACAATGAGCATCGTTTTCACTTTGGATTTGCTCATTCTTCCCTTTTTTGGGCGAGGAGACGCCGTCGTGTGCCACTCGGAAGATTGCCTCTTTGTCTCTTGATCATACTCAAAGATCCACGACTCGTCACCTGTGATTACGTTATTCAAAAATTGGGGGTCACTTCCACACATGTTCAAATTTTCTTGGTACACTTCCACTCGCCGCAGTTTCTGGTCGTCAGTGAGGACTTTTGGGACCATCTTCGCGCACACCTTGCGCATGTTCAAATGCTGTGTCGCAATGTCATGAACCACAGATTTTGGTAAATTTAACATCTAGGCAATTAAACGAATACCTAGTCGACGGTCTGAGTTCAAAACTTGGGCCTGGTGCCACCGAAACACACCACTTCCTGCTAAAGCAACACCTGGGTAAGCCTGCTTGATCATATCAAATGTCCGCAGATTTACCGAGTAGTTTCACACATAATTTAATCGCGTACCTCTGCTCCAACAAACGCTTCATTTTCGGCTTGCACCACTCACAGAAACACGTCGCGCGAAAATGCCTGTCCTGACTCTCCAAGTACAGTCATGGCGGAAGAAAATGAGTCCTATTATTTTCCGGACAAACCCTGTACAACGTTCATGTTAAAACGCAGCATTCTGTACCTTGAAGTTAGACGTACGTTTCTTGGTTCGGCTA